TCATATACATTGTATATTGACAAAATAAAAATTTAATGAAAAAATAAATAAATAAATAAAATAAAAGTTTAAAATTAAAAAAAAAATGTGGCTGCACTCTTTTGCTATTACTCCCAATACTAAGAAGCCTAAACAAAAAATAGTGAGAGCACTAATCTTAATAAGAACCACCTGAGGCTGCCTACTCCAAGAAAAAGCAGTCTCTGTGATTTCACCAACTGAATTACCAAGGCCTGAGATTAGTTTAAGTGTGTAAATTACCTAGTTAACATAATTAAAGCATTGCATACTATGAACATTCAAAATTTGTGATTGCAAAGACCCCCTTTCAGACAACAGAAATGAGTTAAGAAGTTGAAAGGTGATCATTTATCAGAAACCTAAAACAGTGCACAAGAGGCCCCTATCCTACAGCCATCCTACTCTGGGGATTGTCCTTAGAAACCACGTTTACACAACAACCTCAATAGCCATGCAAAGATAGATACTGCATTCAACAGACAGTACACAGCAGCCACAATTCTACATTTCAGGTTCCACGAAAGGATTCTGTTGTCCACAATTAGAAGATGTCTGAAGAGTTAAGGGGAAAAAAAATAGCTGAAAGTTGTCAAACTTTCTGGTGAGTTCATTTTAGGTAAATCCAGACAAGGCACTAACTAAAAATTGTAAGCACCTTAAAAGCCATCCACTATAAACTAGTGACTATAAAAAAGTCATTCCAGCCTATTCAATGGTGCTGAGAAAATTGGATATCCACAGGCAGAAGACTGAAACTAGACCCCCATCTCTCACCATACAAAAAAATCAACTCAAAATGCATTGAAGACCTAAATTTAAGACCCGAAATTATGAAACTTCTAGAAGAAAACATAGGGGAAACGCTACACAAAATGGGAGTGAGCAGTACTCTTTTGAGCCAAGACTACAAAGGCAGAGGCAACTAAAGCAAAAATACACAAAAGGTACCGCACCAAACTGAAAAGCTTCTGCATAGCAAGGGACACTATCAACAAAGTGAAGAGACAACCTACAAATGGGAGAAAGTGTCTGCAAACTACACATCAAAGGGTTAATATCCAGAATATATAAAAAACTCAAGCAATTCAACAGCAAAAAAACAAATAACCCCATTAAAAAATGGGCAAAGGACCTGAACAGACATTTCTCAAAAGAAGACATACAAATGGCCACCAAGCACATGGAAAAATACTCAAAATCACTAATCATCAAAGAAATCCAAATTAAAACCACAA